TTTCCAGCTCTCCCTGGCCACCCTGGATGCTGGGCTCACAGCTGCAGGTGCTCACAGGGGAGTTTCTCCTCCCCAGGACCAAAAGCCTCCACCCAGGGCAAGCAGCACTGGAGGCAGTGTGGACACCTGTCCCATATGGGAGACCAAGGGAGCTCACCATTCCCTTTGGGTTTGTGTCAAATCCCAAAATCTGACTTGGCCCCTGGGCTGAGGTTGAGTGGAAAACACACTGAAACAGCCCAATCTTTCAAAATCTGGCACCTTCAAGGCTGTGTCGGTGCTCTGGGTGACCCCAACACCCACAGCCCAGGTGTGGGTGTGGGCAGCACCCAGAGCAGGTCACAGCTCCTCCAAAAACTCCTGCCAGAGGGATGGGAATTTGCTTTCAGGGCTGCCCTGAGTACCCAACCCTGCTGCACCCCAGGCCACAGCAGCCTGTGGTGAGCAACAGCTCCCACACATCCTCCTGGGCCAGGCTCCTCTCAGGGTGTGAGCACAGAGTGACCCCAAAAGGGCCCTGCTGGCTGCTCCGGGACCCCTGGACACCCAGCAGCTTTCCAGGTGGGCTGGCAAGCACTGGCCATCCTCAGGGAAACCCTGGCTGCTTTCTGTGGCTCTTTTTTGGCACGGCTGCAGCTCGGGCAGCTCCTCATGCTGAGGGCTCCTGCGAGCTCTGCAATGCCCTGGGTGCACTGGAGAGGCCCAGGTGGCAGCAGAAGGGAGCACAAAATCCCAGGAATCCTGCTGACAGCTGGGAATGGGGAGCTCGGGCCCTGCTCTGCCCCTTCTCAGCCACCCCGGGACTCACCAGCCCCATTCCCAACCTTGCATCCCTGCCAGGAATCTTTTGGGATCTGCTTTCACAATGGGTTGGAGGGCGGGGGTCTGCTCCAACCCTCAAGAACAAGAGATGGAATTTCAGATTTTCTGCCATAGGATTCCCTACCCTGCTTCATAATGGAAACTTCTCCTTCCTCCAAGTTCCTGTCAGGACAACCTGGGACAGTGAAGGTGTCCCTGCCCATGGAACAAGAGGAGCTTTAAGGCCCTGTCCAGCCCAAACCAGTCTGGGATTCTTTAAAGACAGGGTGCTTGGAGCAGAGCCCTCTCAGCATTCCTCACTCTCTCCCCACAGGCTGCTCCTCCTGGAGCCCCAGATCCCTGCAGACCACCACCACCAAAGTGCTGGGCTCTCAGCATTTATTTCCACAGCAAACCAGTGCTCAGGGTTGCAGGAGGTGACATGCAGGGCAGGCATTGCTGGAGAGGAGGGCTGTGATTCCACGTGGAGATACCTGTAGTGCTTAAGAGACTAGAGAGCATCCACCTACCTCTACAGGGCCCTAGTTGTCAGCTCGGAGGAAGAATTACTGTGTTGCAAGTGGACAGTGACAGGAGACACGAGCTGCAGCTACTCTACACACATTGCTTCAGAAACCACAAAGATATGCACAAACACCGTGTCACTCTGCACCCCACAGCCCCCGAGCCCAGAGGAAAACCTCTTCTGCAGTGGTTCTGTCTGGGCCTTTAAGCCAAGGTTAAAAGTCGTGTGCCTCGAGCTGCTAAAGCTCCTCCCTTGCAGGCAGCCAAGTCTGCACCCCCCTAGAATCCGTTTTCTTTTGGCAAGAAGGAAGAAGGCCTCAAGCTGCAGGAATTAACATCTTGCTTCCACAACGGTTTGGCTGACTCCAGGGATGGCCAGGTTCCAGTCATCATTCCACTGTATTGCATAAATACCTATTGGATAAAAATAATTGGAGATGGCAGCGAGCGGCAGCTCCGCGTCCATCCAAGTCACTCAAGGTCCCACCAAACATCCCTGGGAGGCTCCAGCTCCTCCTGGGGACACTCATGGCTGTGCCACCGATCCCACCTTGGACACACACGATGGACACACTGAAGAACAAGGTCAGGACATGGGCTGGTGTGTTCAGCAGGCATGGAAAAGGGCCAGGAGCTCCTCCTCTGCTTTCGGAGTCTCTGTGTCGGTGAGGTGGCCACCTGGCCCCCGGGTCAGCACCGCTCGCCTCCCCACGAACCTCACTGCTGCTGGTTTTGTGGCTGGAGCTTTTTCCCAGGCCCATAAGGATATTGCCAGGCTCAGAAGGATATTCATGATTGGAACAGTAGCTCTAGAAACAATCAGACTACAGGGGTGAAGCAATACCTGACCCAAAAATTCAGACCGGAGAAGACAACAGTGAAACGTGAGAAACTTTAAAAACTATTGCCTGCACAGGATACACACTCAAACCAAACCAGACAGACACAGCCAAACAGAAATACTGCCAGGACAAACAGCTTCCTTCCCTGGAAGAGAGGATTCCTCCATATTCCACAGCATGATCTCGCTGTGTTGACCTTCTAATGCCACCACAGCAGGACAGAACGTGCAGATCCTTCCCAAGGACAATGCTCCTGGCACAGCTGTCCCTGCAAGATCCTCCTGCTGGGCCTCAAGTACCAAAGTGTCCCTGTGCCTTTGGGCCAGGATGGGCAGGCAGACAACGGGAAGATGCTGTAGCACCAGTTTCCAAGTTCAGTGCAGTTTTCAATGCATTAAGCCAAAGGATTGTCACCAAACTTGCTTCCCACGCAAGTTCTGCAAAGAGGGTAAAGCTACACTCCAGCTGCTTCTGTCCCCAGGCTGCCTTTGGCACTCACTCCTTGCCTGAGCTGTAAATTTTCTGCACCGTGGCTCGGGTGAGCTCCAGATCCTCCGGGTAGCGAATTTCCAGCTCGGTGTTTGCCAGGTAGTGAACGCCGGTGAACTCGGAGAAATAGCGGCCGATGTCGGGGTGAGGGATCTCCCGGGGCTCAGAGTTGTACTCCAGGTTCTCTGTCAGGGAAGGGAGGCAGCAGTTACCACCACAGAGCAGCCTGCTGCAAGGCAGCCAACCCTGGGCCTCTCTCAGGCCTTGTCTGTGTTTCTAGAAACACCAAATCTGGTGCCTGAAAGGAAAAAAATGCCCTAATGCAGGAAAATGGGCAGTGTGACAGCTCACAGAGCCTCACCTCCTGATGAGCCCACAGACCACGGACATGGCAACTGCTTTATGCCTGGGGTTGCCTGGAGGATCACTGCAGCAGGATGCTGCTCCCACTCTGCTGCTCACAGGACTGGGTTGTAAGCGTGGGGAGAAGCTGCTGCAGTGAGCTCTGCTCCTCTAATCCCTCACAGCCCTTGGAGGATTTGTTTTAGGAGAGATGCCCCTCAAGGTGAGCCCAGCTGCACAAGGCTGTCCTGGCAGAAGAGCCAAGAGCTTCCTCCCTCAGCCTGTGCTTCCACCACGCCAAAGCTCACCATGTGCCTCCAGCAAAACAAACTTCCCTAAATCCAAACTTCCCCAAGTGCAGTGAAAGTCCCTAGGTAGGACATGCTGATTCTTTCCCACAGCAGCTCCTTGCCTCTACATAACCTGATTAGGCGCAAGTTAAACAGCTCTGAACCCCAAAGGTGACCCCTGAACACTGAACCCCAAAGGTGACCCCAGTCAAGGGCTGCTCTGCAGTGTTGGTGCAGAGCAGGGACTGGGAGCAAATCCCACAGGCTGGAGCCCTGCAGCACTCCCCAAATGATGTCATTTTTTTCCAGCACTGTGCCAGATAAAACAGGTAGTATTAGCTAGGAAAAAAAGCTGCATCAGGATCAAAGGCTGACTTTGGGCAGGGCAGGAACACGCTGGGGTGCAGAGAATGTCATTCAGGAATAATCTGTCTCTGAAATCCAGTTCATTAGTGGGAACAGAGAATTCCTATTAATCCATGCAGGCTCTTTGAAGCTGCTGCATGCCAGGGTGTGCAGCCAGCAGCACCAGAGCTTTCCATGCCTCAGCAGCCTGCTGCAGTCCTAGAGGCTTGCAAAGGACCTTTTCAGATACTGCACCACTGCGGAAAACAATGTGCACTGCTGAGTGCTCTGCAGCAGCATGGCTGAGCTGGGAGCTGTGCTGGGGAGCTGCAGGGATGGAGCTGCAGGGATGGGGAGCTGCAGGGATGGAGCTGCAGGGATGGGGAGCTGCAGGGATGGAGCTGCAGGGATGGAGCTGCAGGGATGGGGAGCTGCAGGTTTGGAGAGCTGCAGGGGTGGAACAGCAGCTGGCAGGGGAACAGGCTGACACAGGCGAGTTCAGCACAAGGTGGGAGCCTCCCAAAGGTGCTGACGAGCAGTTTTGAGCCACAGATCTCTCTCCTGTGCTGTCACAAAGCAAACCAAACACAGACAAGAGTGGACAGGTACTAAACTCCCTGAATGACACAGGAGTTCTGGAATTAGCTGCACTCAACCCACAGATTCACAGGAAGGCCTCAAACTGAGGTACATTTATCTATAATAAGCTTGGGGTTATTTCTGAGCAGGTTAAATTAAACTCCACATGAGGATTTGTTTAGGATTCTTTCAGTAAAATCTCTCCCTCCCCCCCCAGAGTCAGGTCAGGAGGATATGAAATAATCCTTCCCAAATGATCTGAGGATGTTTTAGAAGGGATATCAATAGCTGCAAGAACAAACCCTTCACTTTTCCCCAGCAGCATCAGAACTCTTGGAGGCCACAGAGATGCAGTGATAACAGTGTCAGCCTACCCTGCAACAACTGTGGGATCAGACAGGGTTCTGTTTGTTTAAACATCATTAAACACAAGATAAGTGATGACTCAGCCCCAGCAGCACTGGGGACAATTACCTGATTAGGTAATTACCAAGAGGCATATTTTAGTATCAACCCATGACACATGAGAATTTCTGGTTTTAAGACTCTCTGAGGCCAAGCCCTGCCTGTTCTGAGCCATCAGGATTTGCCACTTCATCTTTTTGGGCTTCTGAATACAAAAAAGCCAATCTCAGGACAATGGGAACCAGCTGCACTTTAAATCTACAGAAGGAGTGTCCCTGCCTG